GTGATCAGAAAGGCACCTAAGGTCAAAATACAACAATGCAGCAAATGCTGGGGATTTCATCAAGAGAGATACTGCCTCCGCGTCCCTCGCTGCAAAAAATGCAGTTCTAAGAATCATGTGAAAGGAAATCCATCCTGTCATAAGGAGAATGAAGCATGTGGATGCCCCAATCGCTGCACTAACTGTCTTGGACCACATGCCGCGGATGATCCATCCTGCCCCGCCAGACCAGGGATAAAGAATGGGACTGTTCAAAGGCACTCAAGAAACCAGCTGAGGGATATCCGCAATGCACAGAGTAAGGCATACTTGGCCAAGGCAAGTAACAGCAAATGCGGTGGTCAAGGGCCATCAGCAGACCTGAGGTTGAATGATTCTACTGAGCATAGATCTAACCTCACACCGACATCAAACACAGCACCAAGCACAGCATTGAGCACAGCATCAGGCACAGCATTAGGCATGGCGCCCAACCCAACATCTAATGCAACACCCAACACGTCATCTCACGCAACAACACCCTCCTTTCAGCTACTCAATGAAGAAGAACTCTAGATCTCCGCAATTCCTGCAGATTATGCAAGTCAACGTAGGAAAAGGGGGCCCAGCACATGAGACGGCCCTCAATCTAGCGTTTGAAAGAAAGACTGACATCCTTCTCATACAGGAACCCTGGATTCACAGGAACTTAAGCCAACGCATCTCCAAAAAGCATCCAGCATTCAACTGCTTTGCCCCAATTGAAAAGTGGGACAGGAAGCCACGGGTCCTCACCTATGTGCGTAAACACCCACAAATCCATGCTCATGCAGTCCCAGGCCCCTGGGCAGAAAACCGGGACATCCACATGCTGCACATACAGGCCTGGGGTCTACAGCTTCAGACAGTCAACATATACAATGCACCCCCAGGCGCAGAGAATCCTGGACAAGGTGTGGGCTGTCTTCTCTCCTGGTCTGTCCCAGCACTCCCATTGCTCCTTGCTGGCGACCTCAATATCAAGCACCCCGTGTGGCAACCAGGAGTGCCTCCAAGCATGTGGGCGGAACCATTCCTGCAATGGACCATGAATTTCAACTTTACTCTCACCATGGACCCAGACACTCCCACACGTGGGCATAACATGATAGACCTGGCCTGGGCCACCCCGGAATTAGTTATCAAAGGAGTGGACACACAGGTGGACAGATCCCTTTACACTTCCTCTGACCACCAGACTCTTCTCACCAAAATCAGCCTTCCACAGGGCGCAAGGCCTGACAGGCCAACCCATTTTTTCCGTCTCGACACCATGAATGAGAAGGTCTTTAACCAGACGCTGGAGGCCTATAAGCCAAAACTAGACAAACTATGTGATTTCCCAGAGTACCCCAATACAGATCAGCTGGATGCCCTGGCTAAAGGTATCACAGATGCACTAATAGCTTCCCTGGAAAGTTCCACCAAGAAGAGCACCGGGCAAGGCACAGGTCAGCCATGGTGGAATGAGGACTGCCAGAAAGCAGTGACAACACTACATCGTGCACAGCACCTAGGCTCTAGTTTTTTACGAGAAGCAAAAAGCAACGTAGCCAGGACCACCAGGAAAGCCAAGAGAGAATACTGGCGAGGCAAGATAGCAGAGGCCTCAGTGGGGAAAGATATCTTTAAGATGATCAAATGGGCCCATTCAACTGGCTCCTTTCATTCCCCCCCTCTTGTAGATGAAGAGACTGGGCGAACGCGAACAACCCCTAGAGAGAAAAGAGACCTTCTGCAACGGGTGCTCTTACAGAAGGCTGCAAGCAGAGAGGATATCCCAATCAGCTGGTCCAACCCACCATCTGTCAAATTACCTTTTCCTGTTGCCTCAGCACATGAGATACAAAGTTCTCTGCTGAACACGGGTAATACCACTCCAGGAACTGATGGAGTGCCAACAGAGGTGCTACAAAAGGCATGGCCACATATTAAGGTATCAGTGGAAAGGCTGTTCAGAGCCTGCCTTAGGGTTGGCTGGCACCCAACCTCCTTTCGAGATGCCACACTGGTTGTGCTGCCTAAGGTCAACAGAGATCCAACACTCCCGCGATCCTACAGGCTTATAGCCCTTCTCTCAACGTTGGGGAAGGGACTGGAACGCCTGGTAGCCCGTAGGCTGGCCTGGACAGCTATACAAGAGAAGATTGTCCACCCCCAGCATTTTGGAGCCCTCCCTGGGCGGGCTGCCTCAGACCTAGTGGCAGCGATGGTTCATGATATAGAGGAAGCCTGGGCCCATGGAAAAGTAGTCTCTCTTCTTACTCTGGACATCAAGGGTGCTTTTGATGCTGTACTCAGAGGAAGGATGCTGCGGAGATTGCAAGAACAAGGCTGGCCACCAAATTTAATTAGATGGGTGGAAAGCTTCATGACAGGACGCACAGGCAGGATCAGATTGGATGGACTCCTGGGAGAGCTCTTTGATATCCCAGCAGGGCTTCCACAAGGCTCGCCAGTCTCACCTATTCTATTCATGCTGTTTATTCAGCCTCTGTTCTTTCTAGGAACTATACAAAGAAGACGTGCACGCTTAGGCTACGCAGATGATCTAGGACTGCTTAGTGCTGGAACCACTCTTGAAGGGAATGTTGTTACTCTCCAGGAGGATTTCAAGTTGCTAAATGATTGGGCCAGCAAAGAAGGGCTGACATTTGATTTTGCCAAAACTGAGATAGCACACTTCACACGGCGCAGAACCCTTTCAAACCCCTCAATTGACCTTGAAACAACATCTGGCACTCACTCTATTACAGCAAAGGCAGTGAAAAGCTCCATAAGATATCTAGGAATCTGGCTAGATAGAAAACTGAGCTTCAAGAAACACATGGAGACCATGGCGGCTAAGGCACGACAGGTGTCTAATGGCATACGAGCACTAAGCAACACAGCAAGAGGCGCCCCAGTACAACTGCTTAGACAATCCATTCAGGCCTGTGTGCTCTCTGTGCTCTGCTATGGAGCAGAGGCCTGGTGGCCTGGAGCCACACGAATGGAGAAGGGAAAGGAAATCTCCAATCGAATGGATTGCCTAGTCAGAAAGCTAGATCTAGCCCTTAGAGATGCTTTGCGAGGGGCACTGCCAGTCTACAAGACCACACCCATTTCAGCTCTACACCGTGAGCTAGGAATCATGCCAATGAAAGAGACACTAGACAACCGGCGTGCTGTATTTGCAGTAAGAATCAAAAAGCTTGACAAGAGGCACCCGCTAGTGAGACGCTCTAATAAAGTAGCTACCACCAAACCCTATACCACACGTCTGTCTAGAGCGTCCAGTCATGCTGGTGGGATAGAAGCATATGACCCTCTACTCACGCCCCCTTGGATGAGATTTCCCAGGAAAGAAGATCTGCAGATTGGGTATGAGGCAGGCCGCACAAAGGAACAGGCAGCACAAGACTTTAAGAGCTGGCTACAACAACGCAATCCCCTGGATCTGGTGGTCTTTACCGATGGTTCACAGATAGAGCACCCTCAGCGTGCGACTGGTGCAGGATGGGCTATATGCTGGGGTAGCAAACACCGTCTAATCTCCACAGGAAACCTGCCAATGGATAAAGCAGAGGTCTTTGACGCAGAGGCAATGGCAGCCCTGCAGGGCCTAAAGGAAGCCACCACCTTGCCTCAGGCGAAGTTTGCCAGCAACGTCTACATTTGCCTAGACAATTTGGAGGTAGCACGAGCCCTTGGATCCGTGCCAAACACCTCTAGCCAGCAGGTCTTCGCGCAGTTTCTGAAAGCCATAAAGGCCTGGCAGAGCAGGGATAGGCTCCCATTGGCCACCCAGAGCAGGGTGGTCATTAGATGGGTCCCAGGCCACGCAGGCGTGGCTGGTAATGAAAAGGCAGATCTTGAAGCCAAAGCAGCCGCAGCGCAGGCAGCAAGTGCAAGCATGGTACCTCAACCTGACAGCATAGGCACTCTAGCTTATATAAAACGACACACTATGGAACAAACCACACGGGCCTTTGAGAACTACTGGGCCAAAAATCGGCCCAAACGCTATATGGAGCTGGAGATCCCACTAAAGAGAGCCTCAACAGAGGTAAAACTTTCACGCTTCACATTAGGAAAGCTCTATGCCGCCCGATCAGGTCATGGAGACTTTGCAGCCTACCACAGCCACCTTAAGCATGAAGATGCAGAGTGCTACTGCCAGTGTGGACATAGCAAAACTCCAGAACATTTCTACTATTGCACTCTTGCAAGAAAAGCAGCAAAGCGGCACCGGCCTATCTACAATCTCCGCGAGACACTGGCAACCTCGCGTGGGGCCCTAGAATTCAATAACTGGGCTAAGAGAAACAGCCTTCTATCAGAATATCTGTCCAATGCGCCGTCGCGCACCTCCAGATCAGATCCCACAGACCATTCTCTCCTCTGTCTTGCCCCCATCTTCCTCACCACCTCCTCCCTCCTTCCTCTCTTTCCTCTCCTTTCTTTTCCTTTCCTTGCCTTCCCTTCCTATCCGCCTCCCCTACCTCCCTCCCACAAAACCTAAAAACCTCTCAAAACCTCTGCTCTATGGCAACCGACCCATGGGCTTCTGCCGGGTGCGGCAATACGCAACCCATTTTTCCTCATTTTATAAGATAAGCTACTAGATAGGGAGTCGCATACAGGGCGTAGCTCTACCCGCCCTATAGTTCGACGCGGGACTCTACTAGATCACGTGCCCCTTAAAGGCACGTGGGACTAACCGGGCGTTAAATAAAAAACACACACACACACATAGAAAGGTTCAACCATCCCACAGGTTATAGCCCAGATAGCTGGTTTTCAATAAAAATCACATTAAGAATAGCTGTGTACATGTCTGGATGAGTTCATTCTCTGATCTAATGACTGGACTATCTACTTCTTTAACAGAGAGAAAGCAATCTTTATGATCACATTCTAGAGCTGTTGGAGTGTTCCTATCACTAGACAAGAATGAAGAATTAGAAGGCCTGGAGCAGGAATCAAGTACAAATCACATCATGAATTCATCAAGCTGTGAGCCTGGTGAAATGCCTGCTCCTGAGTCTATACATGAATTCACAGCAGCTAGTGAAGGAACTCCAAGCCTCCAGCCTCAAATGCTTACTCTTAACACAAGTGACATGATTACAATAAGTGTAGCAGATTTGTTGATCTTTTGTCAACAAACAACATGTCAGAACACTTCAAATATCAACAATGATACACCTGCAGATGATTTCAAATCTCAGATCTATGAATATCAAAAGGATGTTCAAAGAGTTATGGATACTAAAGTGGTAACTACATTCAATAACACTAATTATCAAACCTGGTATATGGAAATCCTTACAGATGCTGAAGTCATTGATGAAACTGACATTCTAATCAAGAATCAACACATTTGCTCAGATGATATTAGCTAAAACATGTTGAACACTGAAAAATAAAATATTTGAATCAAAGCACTTTATCAATGTATATTGCAATTCTTATTGAGATCTATATATACAATCATTGAAGTCATGGAACCCAACAACACTGCTGCATTATGAAAAAAGATTGATGTTGAATATATGATGTCTTTGATGAAAGAATGTCTCAATGTCATGAAGAAGCTGACTACTATACATGTCAATAATGATTACTTGACATTTTAAAGAAGATTCTGCTACTTAGTTACACATCATAAGAAACTGATGAATGACTCAGAGGACTTCTATCATGATCTTTTTCTTATTGATTTGAAAGAACATCAAAAGTCTTTTGTCAAGACACATTTGAATGATTTCTACATGACTAGTCAGGACCATATTAAAAATATTAACATTAATGATCTCATGAAACAGTTAATGAATTGTACAAGCAAGTTCAATGAATGTCTCAAATCTTCATGAGTCAACACAGCTACCTCCTTCATATCAAAATCCAACTTGTTTGACACCACAAATTTGAATAGTTCCAAATGCAAGATCTGCCACTCAAATTAACATGTTAAAAACTCTTGTTGATGATTACACTCTGAACTTGCCACTGAAGAGTGAAGAGAGGCAAATAAGAATAAGATTATCAAGTTCACAGAAAATAGCAACACCAGCAGTCACAATAAATGAAAGAGTAAAAAGAAGAATAAAAATGATAAAAAGAATAAATCTTCTAAACTTCTATTGACACAACCTGCTGCTGTCAATACTGCAATTGCTCTATCAGTAATCACTGACATTATCTTCAATCATTGATTTCTCAATATGTGTGCAAGTTTTCATATGACAGGGGAAAAGCAGTCTATTATTCAATGAAAAATCTATGATAGCAATCTCAAGGTTCATATAGCAGATGATAAATATGATCATATCAAAAAGATTAAAAATTTCATTCTAGAATCTGATATAGAAGATATATTTATATATAATGTTCATTATGTTCTGAATCTTACTGTCAACTTAGTATCTTTTGCTAAGTTGAAGGATCAGAGTTTTCAATATGAACTTTCAAATTTGAATACTCTGTTCTACTTCATCATCAAGACTCTCAATGATGTTATTTTTACTGCAATTCACACAGCTCAGAGTTCAATTTATAAAATAATTGAAAGGATGTCAGAAGTTGACACTCATCATGAGTCAAAAGTGATCTATTTTACAGCAAAATCACATATATACAATAATGATTATGCTAAGGCTTTGATCATCACTGGTGACAACAATCCCACTAATGCTCAACCCCAATCTCAAGAATCACTCATAGCTGTGAAAATGCTTGCTGAGTGGCATGTTGATCTGAGGCATATACACATGGGAGTCATTATAACTTTGACTAAGAATTCACTATCCAGTATCTGCATCAAGAGTCTCAAGATTAGTTTCTTTTGCAACATCTATGTCAAAGCAGGTATGACATGTAAATACTTGATCACCTTCATGCCATAGGCCGTAAGGCCAATGGAATAGATTTATATTGATCTGATGAGTGATAGCCACATGTTGAGTGATACAGACAATCATCCTATAGAATCTTGCCAAGACACAAAATATTCTATGTTAATTACAGATGATGTGATGTGATTCAGATGAATCTATTTCCTATATAGCAAAGATCAAGCATCTGATTATTATTCTCATTGAGTTAAGTTCATTAAGAATCTCAGTTTTTCAGCCTCTGCCTACATCAGAACAGATGTAGATGAGGTTTTTCAATCACAAAAGATGACAACATTAATGATTGCTGATAGCACAGTATGAGAATCAACTACTTCTCAATCACTTCATCAAGACAATGTATCTGAATATGGCATCTGTATCATTATGACACAAGCCAGAGTAATCATTATAGAAAAGGAAATTTCAAAGATGTTCTGAGTAAATGTTCTAGAAACAGTTATTTCAATCATGAATAATACACTCATATCAACAATCTTATATAATGAGAAGTATTAGCCTGCAATCATAAATAATAACAGCAAGAAGCTTATCTGTAGTTCTCATATAATTTCTTTTTCAGTATTGATGAACACATTACTGCAGATCACTCACTTCTGTGAGCTTGAATCTAATATTTTTATTCATCTTCATATATTGCAGAAGCTGATAGATAAGCTGTCTACTCAGACTGAATTATGCAAACTTATTGAATTCCACAGCCAGTCAATCTATCATGTGTAAAGTTCTATCTCTGATAAGATTTTCCCTATAAAAGTGCAGAAAATACAAAAGGATTTCACCATTACTGTGATAATCAAAGTTGAAAACACCTCAACCCCTATCATCTATTTGATAAAGGATGATTCTGATGTTCTTGATTTTTCAGAACCACATATTCTATGAATGAGGCCTGTGAAAGCTTTCATGACATATATACCTTTCCCAATTACAGGTGATTTGCTGAAAAGCTTTAAGAATGTGATTAATTATCTGCAGATGAGGTCATATTGAAGGAAATCTATGCAATGTGAAATTGATGATCTTGAATATCAAAAGACTTGAATATTAATTTCACATTCTGATGTTTCTCACAGTGAGTCAGTGGCATCCTACTGCTGAGTCATTGTTGAAAAGAATCACCTTAGTGACCTCAATGTTAATGAAGATGACATATTGCAGAAGTACAGATGAGTAATTTGTGATAATTGACTCAAAAAGAAAATATGTCAAGAAACATATACCTCTGTATTTACAGATATCACAAATCACATGATGTTTATGATTACTGCAAAATATGATTAAACCCTACAGCAGGTGAATATAATGATAACATACTTACACAGAAGACTTGGAAAAACAGTCTATATAAGACAACCTACTGACTTCAAAGAAAGAGCTCTATGTACACTTGTTTGTGTAGTTGAAAGATTCCTATACAGGTTGAATTTGACTGTCAAAATATGATATGATTACTTGATAGCTTTGCTACAGAAGAATAGCTTTACTCTGAGTCCTTATGACCTTATTCTTTGATGACATTCAGCTCAAAAATATTTATATATGATTATATACATTGATGATCTTTATATATTTGCAGACACTCTGAAGAATACTGATTGACTAGTTGATATTCTGCATCAGAAGCTTGAGATCAAAGATTTGAATGAACCTACAAAATATCTAGGTATGGAAGTAAAATATATAAATGATGATATTGAATTGACCCTCTAATGTTATATCAATCAATTGATAGAAGATTTCCACCTGGATGATGCAACTACTGTCTGAACATCTATGAATAAGAGTCTATATTTGAATGACTTCTCTGTTCCTGAAAAAGAGACTGGATTTACAAAACAGCAATTTCAACATGGTGTTGACTGCTTGCAGTATTTGGCAAGTAAACTGCAGCTGAATATTGCCTGTATAGCTTCTCTATTGATACAGAAGAATACTGCTCCTACTTTTAAAATATGAAAAACCCTATTACATGTCATTCAATATTTGAAAGACACATGTGAAATTGACATACATATTTTACACAAAGGATGATAATGATGAAAGACCTGAGAATAAGTTCCTGAACATGGCATATATGCCAGTCAGATACACAGATTCTGACTAAGCCAGCCTGTTGAATGATGATTAAAAGTCTACATCTGACTACAATTTCATGCTTGCTGATGTATCAATTTTATAATGATCAAGTAAGCACTTATACATCTCTTTGAGTTTCAATGAGGTTGAATACATGACATTGAGTAAGACTGTACATGAAGCAATATGGTTAAGAAGTATGATGATGGATCTAAGCTTTATAGTAGATGATTCTCTGTCAATCAAAACAGATAATAAAAGCATGATCAATCTAGCCACTGTAGCTGTGATTACTGCTAGAAGCAAGCATATTGACATGTGATTTCATTACACCTGTAGTCAATTGAACAATGACATTATCTTGATTGAATATATCACAACTGAAGAAATAGCAGCAAATGGATTGACTAAATCTTTGAGCACAGTGACATTTCAACAATTTCTTGATATACTTGATTTTACAGGCAGAAAAGACAGGAATGTCAAAACTTAATATATATAGCATAATTTAAATAAATTCAAAGATGACATAGCTAGTTTTTTCTTTTTCACATATGATATTCAAGATCCTGCATAGTGATGTGAGGGAGGGTGTAGTGATGCTTGCCTGGGTAATATTGCTCTAATGACTGCCCCGCCTACACGTGATCGCTTGTATGTAATATAGCAATAACCTAGCTAGCTCCTCCAAATAGAAGGTTCAATCATCTCACAGGATCAGCCATGATCTGATCATGTGATCATATAGACTTTATAATGTAAGCAGACTCTAATATCTTTTTTTTCTCATCAATCTTAGTATTTTATTATATAGTAGTTAGTAACACAGAGAGTTTTCTTCTTATGCAGCTTATATTTATTCTCTAAAAGTACATATATAAGAAAAAATTAGCACTTTGTATGCTTTTCAGAATAAGTTTAATATATTTATAACTATAATTTTTATTACTTAAAAATATTAAATATCTCAATTTTTTAAATATTTTCAAGAGATTTTAATATATTATCAGAAGATTTATAGCTTTTTCACTATATACAGTATTATTTCTTACTTTAATATTTCTAATTTTTTAATATTTTCTCAAATTAAAAATATTTCTCATCATTCACTAGCACTGGTGGTGAAGATGAAGTAGTGTTATCACTTCTATTATAAAGTTCAAACAGTGAGATATGAAAGACAAAGTGAATATTATATATTAAATGTGAAAAAAAGAGTTAATATTTCTATATATTTTAATATTCAATAATTTGAAAAGAGTTAAACAAATTTATAATTCAATTTTCTCATATAAAAGTATTTTACATAGTATATGAAGTCATAGTATATTTTTTATGCAGTTTTAATCTTCATTAGTTGTTTTAAATCTTTTTTCATATTATCTATATTTTTTTAACCTGATTAATTA